GAGAGAGAGAGAGAGAGAGAGAGAGAGAGAGAGAGAGAGAGAGAGAGAGAGAGAGAGAGGGAGAGAGAGTCAGTCAGTCAGTTAACCAATGTTTTGATCAATGAGTGAATCAATGAGTGAATCAATGAGTGAATCAACCCATCGCTTGTCTTGCCAGGGGTGACGAATAGCTGGTCTGGCATATTTGTACGTTGTTGTGGACTTGAAAACAGGACCCTGGCCTTTGGATTGGCTTCAGACTCCAATGCAGTGAGCACATGGGTATCTGCAGTGTGTTCCCTTCAGCAGCGTTGAGATTATGGCCTGAGGACAGCTGCACTCTGAGTTGGCGCCCAATGAGTTGCTTGCCAGAACTGGTGAGCACATGTATGGTAACTGGTGACAGCTGATGCAGGGTACAGGCAACAGATAAGTGCCGATGAAGATTTTTGGGTGTTTTTGTGTGGTGGCTGGTTTCCATACTTTCGAGAATGCAAAAGCTGCCTCCCAGCCGAGGGAAGGTGCTGTCCTTTGCCACACACTCATTTGCCACACACGGATTTTGGGAACATCTGTCGTCGTGATGCTCCTGGATGAAAAGGCAATCACGGATATACAAACAGCACAGTCATTTGATATGGGTGGCAGTTTAGAGAGAATCATTATACATTGTGAATCTTTGTGATGTTATAAATGGTATAATGATGTTGAGAGGTGGGCATACCGTCAACAAGCAGACCCTTGATGGGTGGCTTATGTCTGTAGTGGCAAAGCCAGGAGGCTGGCTACTGACTGTCCGCTGCGGGGAGCCATCTACCTCTCCCGCGGACTGTCCATTTCACCCCCTCTGCTGACTTACCAGCAGCATGCACGTGTGAAAGCAGCTTGAGATAAGTTTACAACTGTTATAACTGGAAATTATGATGATGGCGATCACCACAGGAGTAGCAGTTGCTGGAGCAGTGATAATGGCAAAGATGCTGCGGAACCCATCGCGGGCATCAGAGCTGGCATGGGAGAAAGGCAGGAGATTGAGTTTTAGACCAGTTCATAAGGATAACGAGTTCTATCTGTCTAGGGGTGTTCAAGTGAAGGAGGAACTTAAAAAAAACTCGCGCAGTGTAGAGATCTACAGAAGGGAGTGGTTGCCACAGAGAGGGAGGCCAGATGAGCCAAAAGCATTGATTTTTCTGTGCCATGGCTATGCTGACACGTGTGCGTATTTGAACGATGATCTGGCAGTTAGACTGGTTGAGAATGGGTATGCCGTCTTTGGAATGGATTATGAGGGGCATGGGCTATCGGAAGGCCTGCATGCGTACATCCCGAGCTTCAACACACTCGTGGAGGACTGCATAGAACACTTCCAAATGATCAAAGAAAGGTCAGAGTACAGTGGCAAGAAGTGCTTCCTCTTTGGAGACTCAATGGGTGGAGCTGTCAGCATCATAGCACACTTGAAGCGACCAGAAGCATGGGATGGAGCAGTTCTGGTGGCGCCCATGTGCCAGATTTCAGACAAGGCGAAACCACCAAAACTTGTCGTAGAGGTGCTGAAGAAGCTGGTGGACTTTTTCCCAACACTGCCAATTGTCCCGTCAGTGGACATCTGTGAAGCGGCCTTTAAAGTACCGGAGAAGAGAGCAAGAGGAGCCAGCAATCCGGTAGGGTACCCGGGGCGACTAAGGTTGAGAACAGGACAGGAGCTGCTAAATGCAGTTGAGCAGATTGCTGAACGCATGGAGGAAATAAATATGCCCTTCCTTGTGCTGCATGGTGGAGCAGATGTGCTCACGGACCCTAGCTACAGCAAAGAGCTGTTCAAGCGAGCGCAGAGTTCGGACAAGAGCATCAGAATGTATGAGGGTTCCTGGCACAACCTCTTACATGGTGAGCCCGATTGTGTCGTGGACAAGGCCATGGAAGACATCATTGGCTGGCTTGATGCACATAGCAGACTACGGTAGGCAGATATCCTGTTAGAACCGACTTGCAAAATGCAAATGGCCTGGTGCATGGTCTATACCATGAATTCGCAAGTTCCCGGTATATTTGGTCGGACCGCTCTTCTTGTCCTTCGTCCTACTAAATTTTGCCCTTCTACTAGGCTTCTAGTGAGACTGTACAATGGACCCACCCACTCTAGCTTCTGAGATGAGGAATTAAGCTGATGGCTGCTGTGTAACCATTATGGCTGCTAGGTTATCATGGTAATTGAGGAATAGACACATTCAGGAGTATGGAATGGGAGGCATAGATACATTCAGGAGGAGGGCAAGGCATAGCGGCTACTCTAATCAAATATTTTGATGTGCTCAGAGTTTGGGTCAGGTCGTCATACGTTGACTTAATGTGCAATGAGTTGCAGGGTTCTAGTGGGCTGTACGTCGGTCTGCCGAATTTTCTCAGTTCTAGGTCCGGCTGGGTTTTGATCCCTAGACCTGTCTTCTACCGGGACTTTCCCTTGCTTTCTTTAGTTTTCCTCCGTGGTACCGGTCCGTAGGCCTGTTGCTTCGGTCTGTCTGCCCTTTTTCCGATTTTCTGTCGAGGTGAAGTTAGGCTGTAGGGGAGTAGTCCGTCGGGTCAGACGCCTACCGTCTTCCCCCGAACATAACGCACCCTAAAAATGAATGTATACGAGTCGTATTTCCGGCCAGATACAGCCAAAATAAGGGTGCGTTGTGTTCGGGGGAAGACGGTAGGGAGGGGAACAAAAGTCAGGCAGTTGAGGGGGTTCGGGTTCTTTGGTTCTTTTTTCGCGACACGCTTGGAGTAGAGGCCGCGCCTGGAACTGCTGCGCTATTTCCCCAGCACAGGTCTTCTTGAAGCTCATTGTGAGAGAGCTGGCGGCCATATCTGCCTCAGGCCAGCTCGATTCGTGACAGCGCTGGGATATATGCCTTCAGCGCTGGTTGGCGCCTCCCTCTCAGTGTGCTGTTGGGGTTATTTCAGCTGCCTTCGAAGCAGCTTCGCTTGGGGCCTTCTTCGAAGTGCTGCATGTCTTCGTCTTCATAGAATTGGTGCTCTTCGTCTTCATCCTGGGAGCTGCACTCCCCTGCTGAGTGGACACGTCATCTGCTGTGGCATTCTGAGCCACACGGGCCCCTGTTAGGGCCCGGTTCCAGACAGGCAGGGTAGGCCTAAGGGACGACGGTTCAGATGAGCCCCAGATGGGCCTGGACCACGGCGGTTCAGGCAGGCCTAGGGTAGCGGCCCAGGCTAAACGGCCACAAGGCCGGTACTGGTCCAGCATAGGACCTACCGGCGGCGCTGCAGAGGCTGCCACATTTAGACGCCAAGTCCAGTTTGAATCTGGACTGTCGATTCAGATCAACGGTCCAGGCCGGTAGGTACCAGCAGGTAGGAGGCCGGCCCAGCACTACAAAAGGCTGGGTACCAGCCTCAGTAGGTTAGAGTTAGTATGGACTAGAGTTAGTCTTCGGGATTAGCGCAGCTTTGCAGCGTTAAGGAGATTAGCGCAGCGCAGCCACGTTAGCGAGAGCAGCCAGGAGACGACGAGCGCAGCAGCGAGAGGAATAGCGCAGCGGCCCTGCTGCGCCATAGCTACCAGTCAGGTACCGGGAGGAAGGCTTTGCCTTCTCTCCCTCTATTCCTCCGCCCCAGCTCTCTCTCTCTCTCTCTCTCTCTCTCTCTCTCTCTCTCTCTCTCTCTCTGCTCCTACCTTCTCAGTCTAAGTCTACTTCTGGGTTCTCTTACGGGACTACTACCAGCATGAAGGATGGTTACGAATTCTGATAACATTGGAGACAGCGACATTGGGACTATAGGTTGAGGACTACTTGTGGGATCTGATTTCATCTTTCTCTGGAGATGTACTTGACATTGTGAGATCGATATCTGAGACATTGTGGGATACTGTATGCACGACATTTCGGGTTTTCGACATCTCTGATATTTCAAGATACTATCTTTGGAAACATTGAGTTGACGTCATCTTCCCTCTCCTCCTCCCTTCGTCTCTCTCCTCCCTCCATTCGTCTGTGGATGATCTCAGACCCTGGCCTTTCGTCTATGTCTAAGGCCAGGGCTTTCACACCCCTCATGAATGTTTGAGAGTGTTCGATTGCTGTTACAGTCCGCGACTTCACACGGGCCTTCACAGGCCCGACACACCGGTTTAGGGGTACCCAGGCCGGCCTTGCCAAAGGCCATGCCTTTTTCCTCCCGGTAGGCCCTATTAGGCCACCGGTTGGCCTCAGCGCCAGCAGACCCAGGTCTGGCCCAAACGACAAACCGTTTGGGCCTGGCGACGCTCTTGAGGCTGCCGCCCGCCGGTCTGGGCTGAACGGTCATTTCGCCGGTTCAGCCCACGGTGCAGGAGGCCAGCATTGAGGCCGACCGGCCGCCGGACGGTACTTAGGCCGGTCCAGCGGCCATTCCTGCAGGTTGGAACGAGGGAGCAGCGAGAGGCAGCGCTGCGCTATTTCGGTTTAGCGCAGCACCAGGAACAGCAGCGCAAGGTTAGCGCTAGGCTGCAATTCGGGATAGAGAGGGAGTGAGATACTTACCTGGTACTTACCTATGGCGCCATAGCTTCAGCGAGCTTCGACTGCAGAAGGCTTCAAGGCGCCACCTTGCATCCTGCAGGTAAGGTCTAGGGACAGGACAGGGCAGTGAGGATTCTCCTCCTCCCTACCTCACCATCTCTCCCTCCTCTGCTATCTCCATCTTCCTCTTCTCCATCTCCATCTTCTTCTTCTTCTTCAGACTTCTTCTTCTTCTTCTTCAGACTTCTTCTTCTTCTTCTTCTTCAGACTTCCTCTTCTTCTTCTTCAGACTTCCTCTTCTTCTTCTTCTTCTTCAGATTGGAGACTTGCTACGAGTTGGACAGAGATCAGTGTTGGACTTCGGTGGTAAGMGGCTGYGATACTTACCGGATTCGAGACTTGGAGATTGTTGGGGTTGATACTCGGCGGCATCACAGATTGGACACCGGTTACATTAGGACTCTGTACCTCCGACATTGGTGACTTATTGTCCACGACATTTTGATCTTGTTCGATGACATTTTGGACTACCATACCGGTGACCGACTGGATTCTATCTCGGTGACATCTGGCGCTGCCTACATCTCCCACCTCCTTTGTCTCTCCTCCCACCTTTCATCTGTGCATGGTTGTACGGGGCCTGAGCATCGTCTATGATTGGCTCAGACCCCACCATCTCACGATTGGTGATGTGTTGAGTGATATCTGTATGGGTTCAGTCTATGTGAGTCAGTCCATTTATCAGACTTCGGCTGCATACATGCTCACCCTATATTGGTTGATCTTTGGTTCTGCTCATACTTGTTGAAGTATTCACTAGTATGCAACAATTGCAGTCCGAGTCAGGTCCGAGTCAGTCCAAGGTATCTCAAGTATTCCGCTTGCATTTGTATTAACTCTGTATTATCTGGTCGGTTCTGGGAATCTGCGCCATTATGACTGTGTTTCACGAGTATGCAACATCTGCAGTGGCGGATCTGGAGTGTGGCGGCTGATTCTGCTGAACGCAGGAGGGTTGTGTGGTGTTGGCAGGTTTGATAGGTTGGGTGCTACCTGCACCGTAGCTAGAGCTTGGTGGCGAGGGAGGAAGAAGCCTCCCTGATAATGTAATGAAACTTTTTTTTTTTTTTTTTTTGGTTCGTGGATGTTATAACGTGGTTGCGATCTTGGGAATTTTGTGCTGCTGATTGAGTTGGATAGAGACGGTATCAATCAGGATTGATCTAGATAAATTCTATTTCAGTTTCGTGAGCTTCCGCTGTGCGTTCTCATCCTCTGGGTTGGTGTGGATTGCTCTCTCCAAGTCTACTTGTCATTGCGCATGTGTATGAGAACGTGTGAATGCCATGCTCGATTCGTTTTCAATCGGGCACATAAAAGTTGGTATCGGAGCCACGACCACGTGCATCCAGCAGATTGATTGGTTGGCCATTAGCTATCTGGCCAGCGGTTGGCGGTGTGGGGCAGTGCCCCGTCGTCTTCAACGTATGGTGGCGGTGATAGTTGCTGATTGATTGATGCGCGGTGGTGAGAAACCGAGTTCCAAAAAAAATAATAAAAAAAATGGAGTGGACTCCCAGCATGAGCTGACCCCAGCGGTAATTAATTAGAGCATCAACCCTAATCAATCCACCGGTTGACCTGAGGGGCTTGCAACCCTCAAATTGTTAGGTTCACCTACAGGTTTTTGTAGACCCCACTAGGGGATTCTAATTTGCAGGAAGCAATCGTCGGGAATCGATTGGAACTTTCGAACGAGGTTCAGTTTGGGCGCCGACCGACAGTGAGTCAGCCAGGCCCCTAATAATCTGGTCAACGTTGACCAGCAGCATCTCTCCAGTCAAGATTTCAACCGAGTGAGTTTGTTCCGACAACCTGTCCCTCTGACGTCAGTACGTCAGAATTGGTCCATCAATCTGCAGTCCGTCCAGAGGTTAGTCGGTGTTTGTCATTCTGTTCGGTGTCAGTAGGTTGTCAACGGTTTGACTAGTCGTTCTGACCCCTCTACCTGCAGTTGACTGTGGGTTTTGATCCAGCGCACAGTTTGTGTTTCCGGTCCCCGTTCTATCTGTTCTGTCCCGGTCTGTCGTGTGAGATCCCGGTGTCAGTTCGCTGCTGTCAGTCTAAAGAGTCTGTCAGTTGTGTCAGAACCGACCGTGCAGTATATCCAATGTGTCAGTCTGTCGAAGCCAGACACAGTCAACTCGTTGGCGTGCTGGGCCGTGCCGACAGCCTGCAAACTGTGTTTTTTTTTTTTTCTCTGCAAATTGAAAGGTTATTCCCCGTGCAATTTTACCTGGAAAGGATCTAATAAGAAATTGTTTTATATTTTATTTGTGTGCAGTGTACGGTAAAAGGAAATTGTTTGTTGATTTTGCTGCTAACCGTTGTTTGCGACCTCCCCGAATGCCTACACACACTGAGCACTAGTCTGCCACCTGTCCTAACCATTCTTTGTATCTGAGGAAACAACACAGCTAGATTCTGATTAGTTTTCTTGTTCTGCGTGTGAACGTTAATCTGGAATTGTTTTTACCTTATTTACGTGAAAAAGATATTTTGGCATGGGTGACAGTGGTGGCTCAGGTGGTCCTGGGAATGAGAAGGGCAAGGAGCTTGCTATTCCCAAGGCAACCATAAAGCTAGAGATAGAGGAGGAGAAGGCCGTAGAAGAAAGCCGAAAGCGGATGGAGCGTCTTAGACGGGAGAAGGCAGAAGGGGAGAGGAAATCTAGCAGTTCTTGTCGGCAAAGTCTGGTGAGAGATTCAATGAGACCCACAAGAAGTTGGCTGAGTGGATCTGGTTGGAGTTCACTGCAAATAGAGATGCCCGTACAGCCTGGATGGACCGGGTCTCGGCAGTGGAAGACCACTTGACTCAGATTGAAGTCAAACAGACTTCAATTGTAGAAATCCTTGACCTCATCAGAAAGAGCCTTCCTACCCCTACTCCCTCTCCTACCCCTTCTCCTCAACAGTCGCCCAAATCCAAACCACTCTAGTCCTCCCAATTCCCCCACAGGAAAACCTGCTTCTCTCAAGTCGCAGCAGCTGGTTGTCCTAGGGATTGGGGCCAGTCAGACACCTGGTGCAGGACAGGTTGTTGGCAGCTTTGGCCAACAAGAACAGAGATTCCCCAAGATGATCCACCCTGACAAATTCACTGGCAATGATCCCAAAGTGGATGTGACAAACTGGATCGCTTCGGTGAAGTCCTATCTTAGGGGTTGCACCTACCCAGAGGTCAACAAGGTTCAAACCATTGTGGCCCTGTTTGGTGGGTTAGCACTAAAGTGGGCTACCTTTTAGGCTAGAAAGTCTCAGCAACAGCTGGCAGATTGGGCTGTTGCAGCAGGACTAGAGACAATCTTTCAGGTCCTGGAGGCAAGGCTTTCGAATAAGGAAAACGCTTGCGAGGCTGCTGATGAGTTGGTTGGTCTTGGCCAAATACAGAGGTTCCCTGGCCAAATACAGTTGGTTGGTCAGACCAAATACAGAGGTTCCCTGGCCAGACTGTATGCAGAATTTGCGCACTCCTGGCTTGTCAATGTCTGAGAGTGACAAGCTTACTTGGTTTGTGAGGGCAGCCCCTGGGAAATACACATCGGCCCGGTATAGTACAAGGCATACGGACTGGCAGTCCTTCGGCAAAGCAGCCTTGGACATGGAGGCCACACTCTGTGTTCAGTCCTCTGCCTAGAAGGGTAGCACCTCCTCGTCAACCAGAATAGGAGGAAGGGAAAGGGAGGTAACTATGCCATGGAGTCTAATGATGACTCCGCAGGCACTGGCCAAGAAGGATCTACTCCCCCATTTGGCCAGGGTGCAGACCAAATGCTGGCCCAAGCACTGATGGCTTTCACTGGAGGCAATCAGTCCTAGGGACAAAGGCCTTTAGGTTCTAAGGGGTTAGGCAAACGCCCCAGTGATCCTCAGCAACAAAACCTCATCAAGTTTGCCAAGTGCCCTACATATCCCATGGACGCTTCCTCTTTGCTTTGGAGGGATCTGAAGATCCAGGAAGGTGTTTGGCAGAAGAGGAAGGACAAGGGAGTTTGTTTGAGGTGCAACCACTATGTGAAGGATTGCCCCAAGGCGAATCACAACAACTGCAGCCATTCACAAAACTAGTCGGACCAACAGTGGCCGCAGCCAACTCTGCTGAACTGAATTCATCCCTATCAGGAGATGAATTAACATATGAGAGTGATTTTTGTGAGGCTGCAGGGGATTCAATGATTTTTCCTACATCGAACCCTTTATTAATGAGCCTTTATCAGAGGAGGAACATGACCAACCTTGTTCTCTTCATCTCCAGTTAGAGGAAAAAAGAGATCAGAACTGATCATGTTCAAGCCTCAGATTAATAGAACCAGAACAAAGGCTTTGCTTGAGTGCAGAGAAACCACTAACTTCATTTCACCAAATGGAGTTCAGAAATTCCATCTAGGTGTCAAGGTTACAAACCTTGAGCATACTTCGGGGATTTAGGTAGGTAACTCACAATCCATCTCAGTCAAATAGATAGTCAAAGGTGTATTAGTCATTTTTTTATGATAAAGGGAAACTCGTACAATCTTTGAATTTTTATGTCTTCCCCTACCTTCCTTTTGATTTGGTCCAGAGTCTGAAGTGGCTGAAGGTCACTAACCCTTCAATTGATTGGGCCTTGCCTAGTGTGTTCCATTGAAGACCTCATAGGGTGAGCTAAGACAGTGTGTCCTAGCAATTGATCACCATCCTAAGACAAGTTGTTACTGCTCGAAAGTCAGGGAGTTCTACAACTTGTCTAACGATATTGACCATGAAAATGTGGCTCATGTCACTTAAACAGATTCAGACACCTCCCCTTCTCAGATTGATCTACAAAATATCACATGTTAAACTGGATGAGGAAGCAACTTGAGTCCTTAATTGAAAAAGGGTGGATTATGCCTAGCTTATATGGGTATGGAGCACCAGTTGTCTTAGTTCCAATGGGAAATGGTGAGCTTAGAATGTGTATTAGACTACAAAGGCCTGAATAAGATCACTAGAAAGAGCTATGAGCGCTTGCTTGGGATCGATTACTTGTTCGACATGGTGCAAGGCTGCAAAGCCTTCAACAAAATGGATATGAAAATGTTCGACATGGTGCATCGGATCAAAATGGTTGAAGAGGATATGCATAAGACAACCTTTAAGACCCGGCAAGGCACCTATCAGTTTCTGGTCATGCCCTTTGGTTTATGCAATGCACATGGAACATTTTCAAACTGAAATGAATCGTATTTTCATACCATACCTGGACAAGTTTGTTGTGGCATATCTGGATGACGTTTTGGTGCTCAGCAAAACTGTTGAAGACCTTGTCGACCATCTCAAAAAGATTCTGCAGATTTTGAGAGAGCACAAATACAAGATGAACAAAGAAAAATTATCTTTGGTGTCTCTTCTGTTGT